CCAGTGGACACTGCTGTTCAAAAAAAATCTGAACCCATGTGATTAGGACACACGCATCAAAAGTGGAATTTAAGTGGAGAGCACGTCTGAAGACCCACACTTCTTGGCAATGACCATTCTCTGTTGTTAACATGGTTCTAAACAAAGCATCTTATATGGAAACCACCACCTAAAATAAAAGTGATAGCCAAAGTAATGGAAAAAATAAAGTGACCAAGGCCTGAACAACACTCAGATGGCAGAGTGATTAAATCTTTATAAAAGTTTAAATAGCACTCTTAAACTCAAGATGGTCTGAAAAATATTACATGGTTCATGGTTCTCTAAGTCTTCATTCAAAAGATTGTTTAAATGCTTTTGAGCATGAATCTCAGGACATATTGTGACAATTATGGTTGCGTATTTTTATTTCAGGCTAAAGACATAATTATGGCTAACCGAAAAGCACCCGCTTCAGCCAAACCTTCTGACAGCAACAAATCGCAAACAAATACAAGAAGGTAATTTTATTCTCTCCTTCTTTATAGCCCCTCAGATTTATTGTTTGCATGTTAGTTCTTTACTTGCCAAAATGCTGCTGCTCAGTGAGTATATAATTGTTGAAATAAGAAAATATTGATTTCTATACAGTAAAGCAATAATAAAAGCTTTAGACTAATGGCTTGTCCAGTATTCTTTATAAAGTGATTTGCTCCAAGAGCAGAGCCAAAATAACACTTATTATAGCAGATCATTTTTGTTCCATCAGAAGGCAGTGATTTTTTTTGTATCTGCCTTACAAATCCAGTTGATCAATGGAAAATTATATAGGAGCTACAGTTGAAACACTGCATCGGTCACTAGTGTTTCCTTTTCTGAGGCTTAAGGCACTAGCTTTTGGAATCCTAGAAAAGCAGAACTGGAGGTTATTTAGTCAGGGTCACTGCTCAAGGCAGGATCATCCCTGCCTAAACCATCCTAGATGAGGAATATTTAGGAAGTATGTTACCAGCAAATGATAATATGATGATGACTTGTTACTTCAAGAGGACCAAGCCAGAGATGACTTCCCTTTAATTAAAAGCAATCAATCTTTTCACCAAAAAGGCAGAGGCACTCTTTCAGACAGATTTCCTTGAGTGTCTCTGGACTCAGGGAGTGTCAACAGCCAAGTCTCTTAGTCTTTCCATAGGGAAAAAACCAAACACACCTCCCTTCTTTAGGTACCTGAATGTTACTGCTAACTCAGCCATCTCAGATCCACGTATATCAAACAAATGTTTCCAAACCCCATGGAAACTATAAATTATCAGATGAAGAAGATCATGCTCCTTAGCTTCTTTGGTTCTACTAGACATCAGTCATGATGGACAGACTCAAAGTCCTGCACCAAGTTTGCATGCAGATTCCCAGCCATTCTCCATTTGTGTTTTCTTTTCCTTTCAGCATTGAGGGAAGGAAGCTTGGTGCGTGGTAGAGAAAAGATGTGAAGTGCTGCCTTTCTATAATATCTGTTACCTGATAATCCAAAAATACCACATGCCACAAGATTAAGAACTCACATCCCTAGAGAGAGAATCTGGACTTGTACCCAATTATTATTTTCAAATATCAGGTTTGTTTAAATGCAGATACAGATTTACCTTCTTGAAAGAAAATTACTTATTTTTGCTATCAAAATACTTGTATCAGAAAGAAAATACATCCCAAAAATGAAAGGCAGTATACAGGGATTATTAAGAATAGTAAGATCTGACCCCCTGAGTTGACAAGTCATACAATAAAGATTGCTTGAGTCACTGCCTCTTAGATTACAGGAGAACATGCATTATGGATTATACCAGAGGGTCCCAGTTCTCCTTGTTAAATTCTTCCTCACACATACAATCTGCTAAACAACAGTTTAGTCCTTCAGAAACCCATTTACTGTTATGGATTGCATTTTGCCAACCCTCACAGCCTACAAATGCCATTCATTTTCTTCCCCTTGCTCACCTTTCTGTGCCTTCTTCTATCAATCCCTCTGTTTTGAAGTGTCCTCTCCTTGCCAGCTTGCTACACCTCTTTCCACTCAAGTCACAGAAACATGCTACAGTTGTTTCTGCCATGTACAAGATTTCTTTTCTGAGATTTTATACAAAACCATTTTATACAAATCGTTTCAATGCTGCTTCGACTCGTTTTGAGCTCGAAACAGCAAAATTGAAATGAAATAGACAGCTTCGAAACAGCCTCAAAACGAAACGAGGCAAGTCGAAACAGAACGGTGCCGTTTCGCACAGCCCTAATATGCACCTGAAGCACAGCATAATGACAAGAGGTAAATCTAGAATTTGGTTTGATTTTTCTGTCCCCTGTTATGCTTTTACTACAATTTCTTTTTTCAAAGCAAGATTGTCATCATCAAACTAATCCTTATACTGGGAAACAGAAATAAAAACTTCTGAATTAATTTGCCAAATAAGAGATTTGGGGTAGGGAATGCCACAAGTGTTGTAAAATAGGAAAATAACCAGGCATAAAGAAATGATTAAACAGGAGTAATGAAATGAAAGAGAGTATTCAGAAAAGCCTGGTCTACACATCGTTTTTCTGTTGATTTAACAGTTTTGCTTAGGAATAGATTTTTTTTCCTGAAATAGCTAAATCAGTAGAACACCTACCACTATAATTACCTTTTTACTGGTATAACTACATCCCCTCCAGGGGATTGCACTGCTTTAATTATACTGGTGTAGTTAGAGCAATACTGTGTAGATATGCCCTGAGACTAGAAATCTGATTTCCATCCCATTAGCGTAGCTTTTAGTAATAGTGGGTGGTTTACTGATTCATGTCCTTCTGCATTTCTTGTTTGTATATAAACATTTTTTTTCAATCACTTAATCCTTTATTGGGTTTTTAATTCCAGCCTTTGCTAGCAGACTCTCATTATAGTAACACTGTATGGTAGAACTTCTGTGGTTTTCAGTTTCAAAAAAAGTTCATGCATTAACTAACTGATCTGAGAGAATTAGCCACATGCTAAGCATAGAGGCTTTTATTTTCAGTCCTGTTATTTTAAGTTGTTCATTTATTTTAGATGTAATACCAGCACTATATAAGAAACACCCCTGAGGCTGTACCTGGCACGAAGATCTTATTCTAAGCCAGAGACAATAGTACTTGGTAGGTAGTTTTGAGGGAGGTTACTTTGATCTAGCTTTGTTACTTTTTTGTGGACATCATGGACAGAACAGGTCTTTAAGAAAGGACTTGCTGGTCAATGGGTAAGATTTTTGTTTTGGGTGTGAAAAGTGGTTGGTTCAAATCCTAGACAAGCTGTTGTAAAAGGCGAGAATTCTCCTGTCCCTTTCACGTTACATCTGGGGACTGGACTGAGTAACACAGGAAGTCCCTTAGCTCTATGTTTGTGTGGCTTGAGTGGATAGACTTGTCAAGCTGGCAAGGAGAGAGCATTTCAAACAAAGAGTTTGACAGAACGAGGCACAGGAAGGTGAGCAGGGGAAAGAAAATGAATGGTGTTTGTAAGCTGTGACTGTTGGCAGTATGTGATAGGGCAGATGTAATAAGATAAACTCAGAATTTGGATAGAGTCAGCATAGGGTCAGAAGATACCTCCTGAGTCCAGTCTCCTGCTATTACAGACAGATAATCATGTCAAATTATTTTTTTCAGAAACTGACCAAGCTCTCACCCTGCCCCCTTTCTGTCTCCCCTTCTCATTGTTTCATATCATGAACCTTGTTCCTCGAGTGCAGGGCTGCTCAACTACTGCATTTGGCCCACGAAGGGTTAAAGTATGGCCCCTGGGCTCTCGCTTGGCCACTGTTCCTTCCAACACTGACTGCAGCAGCAGTCAAGGTCTTGGGGCAGGGAGCCAGCAGGGGTGAGAGTCCTCTTGGTTGTGGGACTCTAGCTGGGCATGGTGCACCCCTGCCCAGCTGACAGGGCTCCCAGCTACACATGCAAATTAAAGCTCAATAGCAACCAGGTATAAAGTTAATACATGTTTTCAAGATATGCCCTGAGACTAGAAATCTGATTTCCATTCCATTAGTGTAGCTTTTGGTAATAGCGGAGAGAAGGTAAAAATAAGCTGGTTGGAGCTTTTTATAGTGTGATAAGTTCTTTGCATGTGTAACTGGTATCCAGGTTATTATGGAAATAACCCATTAATTGCATAATATCCATAGGCGGCAGAAGGCCGGGGCTAACGGGGCTCAGCCCCACCCAAACGCAGGGCAGTGTGTAGGGCCTCAGGGTAGCCCAGCTGCAGGGTCTGGGCAGCTGCAGCAGGGGTGGGGAGGGCACGTACACAGCCAGGATCGCAGCCCAGCATTTAGATCAGTGGCTTCCTAGCACATCAAGCAAGTACCAGTTGATTCCGTGAAAGGGAAGGGTTTGGGGGAGGAACAGGTTGAGGCCCCCATGGTGAAGGAGGAAGTGGGGCATGAACAGGGGCTGGGGTCAGTGGGGCTTCGGCCGGGCTGGGTGGTGGAACAATCAGAGCCCGGGCAGGTTATCTAGAGGCACAGGGTGATCCCGCTACTGCGCATACTCTGGTGGAGGCCCGGGGGGAGACATGCCCCCCATTTGTGCATGGGGCTCCCTGCTGCAGCTGCCCTGGGATGCGACTTGCCTGCTGCTGCTCAGCTGTGCCGTGTCCCCTGCCCATCCGGCGGCAGGATGCACATGGCCTCGCACCACTCCTGGGGCAGCTGCAGCAAGAAGCAAAGCCAAGCACATAGTAGCAGCCACCTCCGTTCTGTGCACAGTTGTGGGGGCACGTGCCCCCTGGGCCTCCGCCAGGGTGCGCACAGTGGCAGGAGCCCCCCCATGCCCCTGCCTGAGCTCCAGTTGTCCCACCACCCAGCCTGGCCAGGGCCCCACTCACTCCAGCCTGTGCTCCACCCTGCTCCTGCCTGTGCTCCAGTCTCTTCATCACCACGGGGTCCTCAATCTGGTCACCCCCACATGGCTCTTTCCCCTCACCCCACCCCTTCACCCACAGACTTACCTGCGGGGGGGGGGGGCGGAGCACACATGAATGCGACTTAACTGCAGGGGAGGAGGGAGCATGCATGAATGTGCGCATATGCTCAGACCCCCCCCCCCAAATATTTTTTTCTCCCTCCACCTGTGGCAATATCTGTAATGCGTAGAGGGGGGTAGACACTGAAACCTCAAAGTTGTCTCAGCTAAGCAACTTCCTAGGCATTTCTAATTACATTGACTATGGTTATCAAAAAGATGGGATTTGATGCAGTATTGGAAAGTCAGGAAAATCCAGTATGAAGCTGACATTTGTCTTCAAACTGCCATGCCAATATTTCACTGGGCAAACTTTTTTGCAGCAGTCAAGTCAGGAGTTCAGGTAGTAGCTGTAATGTATTCTACATTAATATATAGTTTTGAGAAATCTAAAGGATTTGGTCAGAGTTACATTTTCCCTGTTCAATATTCTTTTAACAAGAAGAGCTTTGCAATTTTTATTCTCTCACTAACTTTTGTAAATCCA